CTTGATTTTATGCTAATGTAAATGCTATTTAAATCCTTACATTAGGGTGTATGAAACTAATCGTGAAATTTCGGAATAGTAGAAAGCGATTTGTGACTATGAAGTCGTACGGGCTGAAGTTAATAATCATCTGAGCATCCACCCGGAGTTGTAGAAGTAAATAGAAGTTGATTTGTGCCAAGCTGTCGTTGTTCGAGAAGGAGTTGTATAAGTCTTTTTGAATAATCTCATAAGTTAGATTAAGAATTTGGATTTAAGATTTCTCCCGAAGTAAAGGAATAAGTTGTTAATTGTTCATAAAGTGTTAAATCTAAAATAAAAGTAATTACTTTAAAAATCATGTCTGCTTTTTCATTGAACCCTCTTACTCCTGCAACCTTCGGTTGCGACATTCTCAAAGCGATTTTTCTTCTTTTATACCATTATCCCGACATGATTTATTCGTTTTAACCGAATTCTGTGCAAGACACCACGAAAGTAAACAAAATGTGTAAACGAGAACAAAGTGCAGAATTTAGCTGGTCCGCTTACAAAGTATTTTTTCTAAATGCACCCCACACTAGTGTAAGCTTACGTAATCGACCAAAAATTAGCGTCTTTGTTTAGAAGGGTTAATTTTTTACTTTTGGAAATTTTTCACTACGTATAAGCCAATTCTCTCAGTTTTTAACACACTTCTGTTTGAAAGTATTTACCGTGAAATCCAGCGTATAACGCTCACTTTTAATACAAATAATAAGATTGTAATTTACGGGTGCCTGTTATACGCCGAGTATAAAAATGAAAGCTTTAAAAATAACAAAAAAAGATGAAAACAGAAAAAAATTAGACTTTTACATATATCGAAATACTGTTTATTTAAAAGAAAGGACATTCCTTTATAAACTTAAAGGGATGTAATTCTAGAAGTTACTATTTTGTGTTCTAAGTATTGGAATAATACCTTGAATAAATGACTTCTAAACATAAGAGCATTGCCCATGTGTACTACACAATTCCGTGTGAAACAAAGGGTGTGCGTGATACGGCGTATATACCTAAAAATTAAAAATTGCAGCTTGAAAGCATAAGTGCAAGTAACACGCCAGATTTTATGGTAATAAAATACCGTAATAAGGGGTAATATCTGAATGAAAAAAATTCTCCTAAGCAAAAAATCCAGTAGTTACGGATTGTATGTAAACTGCTGGCCACCGTAAATGCAACACCCTGAAGGAAGCATGCAAATAACATGAAATTTACAACATTAGCGGAGGTGAGATATGCAAATGATTAGAATTTCAGCGCAGACACACATCACGCGCGCCTGTGGCACCACCTCAAAGCGCTTTTTAAGGCTTGGAGATTTCGACGATTTCAAGTTCGGCAATTGTGTTTTTCTTGTGGGTTTTTCAAAAAACGATCAGTTATGCCTCGTAGAAAACAGCTATCAGCTTTTGATCAAGTATCCAAGTTCGACAGAGGAAGGATAGTGGCCTACCGAGATTGTGGATTATCTTTCAGGGAAATTGGTAGTCGTGTTGGACGAAACCAAACAAATGTAATGAGAAAGACAAGTGATGACACAACATAATTTATTTTGTAGATAACATGTTGAGCAAGTTTTAAATGATAAACTTTATAGACTTCTTGGAAGTGTGGTTCCTGTCAGAATCAGTAGCCAGAGTAGCCGCCATTGTTGGAGATCACCGCTGCCACACGCCTCGGCATTGATTCAAAGAGACTTTGGATGTGTTCTTGGGGTACAGCAGACCAAAAAGCTTCCACACGTTGCCAAAGTTGATATGGTGTGGCAGCTGGGGGTGTAATCTGGGTCAATCGTTGAGCAACCATGGATCACATGTCTTCTATCGGCGAAAGATCCGGCGAGCGAGCCGGCTAGGGAAGCAATTCAATCTGGTGATTGAAGAAGAACCTTTGGACAATGCATGCCACGTGTGGTCATGCATTATCCTGTAGAAATTTTTATATGCCAAGCCCTGAAAGTAAGGAAGGACAACTGGATCCAACACCTCAGAGATGTAGCACTAGCTGCTTAAAAGACTCGCAATGCGTACTAGAGGAGTGCAGGAGTGATACCCAATACCGGCCCATAACATAATACCCGGTGCAGGACCAGTGTGGTGGTGCATAACGCAGCTGTTCAGCATCCTCTCTCCACGGTGTCTCCAGAGTCGAATCCGAACATCGTGGTGTTGCACACAGATGCGTGATTCGTCAGTAAAGACAACTTCATTCCATTCGGCCGCCCACATCCTTCTTTCATCGCACCATTGGCGGTGGAGACGTCTGTGGTTCTGCGTCAAGGGTAGACACAGCAATGGACGTCTTGCGGACAGACCACTCTGCTGTAAACGACGTCGAGCGGTACGCGCAGACACTGAATGATGCGTTACAGACTCAATGTGCTGTGCTATGTTTCGTGATGTGACTGAGAGATCCGTCACTGCCATGCGCTCATTTTGCCTGTCCTCGCATGAAGTGGTGGACTGAGGTGGATGCGATCGACCACGTCGGTCCATCGTACCCTCCTGCATCCAACGGTCACATATCCGCATTACAGTGTAGTTTTGTTTCGTCCAACACGACTACCGATTTCCTTGAATGATAATCCACAATCTCGGTATTTTATTATCCTTCCTCAGTCGAACTCGGATACTTGATCAAAAGCTGACCGCTGCTTTCTACGAGACATAGCTGCTGTTTTGAAAAAACCCAAGAAAAACGCAATTGCCGAACTTGAAATCGTCGAAATCTCCAAGCCTTAAATAGCGCTTTGAGGTGGCGCCACAGGCGCGCTTGATGTATCTCTGTGCTGGTATTCTAATCATTTGCATATGTCACTTCCACTAATGCGTGTTGTAAATTTCATGGTATTTGTATGCTTCCTTCAGGATTTTGCATTTACGGTGGCCAGCTGTATATATATATATATATATACACTTCCAAAAGTTAAGCACGGAGAGGAAAATGCTAATTTCCGGAAGCCAATTAGAATTGAAGAGGATGCAATTCGCTGCAGAGGTAGATGGAAGTATGCAAATATGTTAGGTAACAGCCAATCGTGCTTTCATGTCAAGAAATATGCAAAAAGGGCAGTCTTATAAGAAGCCAGCTTTATGAAGGGTTACAGAAGTTGATTGTAAGTGCTGATAGAAGGTGTTTAAAACTTTCGTATAATTTGTTTTCAAGACATTTGTGTTTCTATGACTTACAGAAAACGAATGGAAGATTCTGAGCGCTGGCGTGCTGTGAGGCGCATTGAAGCAGGACAGTCGATTACAGATGTTGCTCTTTTCTTCGGCGTTCATCATTCTGTAATTTCACGTTTATGGAAACAATTCCAAACCACACAGACAGTTGTCCGAAGGCCCGTAGGCGGTCGCCTAAGGGTTACAACCCCCGAGGATCGATATATTGCTATTGTATTCAAGCAGAATCACAGTGACTTCCACACGTGTAACATCTATGGTTACAGCGTCCATTGGTAAGGCTGTATCTGCAGCTAGTGTACGCTGAAGATTACATATGAAGGAACTGTATGCCCGGGTACCTCGAGTTTGTGTTCCTCTATCCGTCCAGTCAAGAGAGGCACGATTAAAGTGGTGCCTGGAACATGGAAATTGGACTGTGTCTGACACTGTGGAAATGTCATGTTTACTGATGAGTCAATATTTGCTCTGGAGACAGATGACAAGCGTATAAGGATATGGTGCAAACAAGGAACACGCAATCAGCCCCAAAACATCACCGAACATCATGCATTCCAAGGCGGAAGCATTATGGTGTGGGCAGGGATTTCATTAGGATACCGCACAGACCTGCACATCTTTAAACGGGGTTCTGTGACGGCTGTCCGGTATCGAGATGAAGTCCTAGAACCCATTGTGAGATTGTACGCTGCAGCAGTTGGCCCTATTTTTGTTTTAATGGACGATAACGCACGTCCCCATAGAGCTGACATCGTCGATGACTACCTGGAGAGTGAAGGGATTGCGCGTATGGCGTGGCCAGCATATTCGCCCGATCTTAATCCCATAGAATATCTTTGGGATGCTCTCGGCCGTGATGTATCTTCACGTTTCCCACCTCCAGCCACTCTTATTGAACTGGAAACTGCTTTACAAGAAGAATGGCGATTGCTTAACTCTGCGGTGGTTGATCACCTAATTGAAAGCATGGTGAGAATGTGTAAATTTTGCAGACAGATGAGGGGAGATCACATACTCTATTAATGTCCTTTTTTCATTTTATGCTGTTTATT